GCTTTCTTTCTTTTTGATCATTTTCCCTTCATTTCTTCCAAATTACGCCATATCCATCGAATTGCCACCTAAACCAAAATATGAGAATACTAAGTACATTTAGGCATAAAATAGTCATATGAACGCATTAAATAAAGATGTAAAATGTGTATTTTATATTCCTATCACTCGTCTAACCTCATAAAATTTGAAACTTGACATCACGCAAAATCATGCTTTATGCCTTTTAAAACATTGTTAATAGGTTAATGCTACCTAGTCTTTTCTTTTTACGTCAAAAAGCACTATGTTCATGGACCAACATGGTCTCAATAATTGACACATTTTAATTTGTTATATAAATAATTGTTGAAAAATGATTAATTAGAATCTTATGACCTCTAATTAGGTAACCGGCCTATTATTCTATAATTTTAATTGATGGGTAATTTTCTAAATATTAAATGAGAAATGTTCAATTGTTCATATATTAAAGTAATGGAAACGCAAGAATTAAAAAAATTGAGATCAATGTAAAAGTGACAAGTGGACGGGGTAAATTTGACATAAAAAGCAAAGTCCTGATAATTTCTAGAAGAACATGGTTATTATGGAATCCAAGGGCTTGCTTGATTTGGCAAGAATTTCATGTAACTTGAAAATTCAATTCCATCTTTCACCATTTGCAATGTTTGATTTGCATAATTTTCTTGGCAATTTATTTTTCCTTTTATGCTTCACACGGTTCTAATTCCTTGCTTTTGTGGAAAATCAATTTCCAGGTAACATTTTTTTTTTTTTTTTTTGGGTAATGGAAACAAATTTGATCCCCAATTGTAAATTTTTTTCCTTTAATGGACAATTCTCATAGAAAACAAAGCCAAACGAATATCAAAATGTCCAAAATTGAAATATTTTCTAGGTGAAAAATTGTACCAATCAAACACAATTAATTGACAATTTTCAGTAAAATGAATTCTAGGCAATTTTATTCCCTGAAATTCATTTTCTTTCCACCCAAATTCCATTCTTACAATCAAACAGATTAAAGATTTACTAAAATGGTTGTGCAGAACTTATGTTTGAGAAAATTAAAAGTAATTTTGAAATATGAAAATCCAACACTTTCCTTGCTATTTACACAAAACCTAAATTGTTCAGTGTATCCAAATTAAAGGCTCTCAATTATTTAATATATTATCAATTAAATACTAATTGAGATATTGAGTACGCAATATACTTTAAGAGCATTAGAATGTTTCGATTTTCAAGACTCCAAATCAATATAAAAACTAACTCGAACATTGATTTAAAAATTAATTGATCAAGGATTAAAGGCGCGAATTAGGAATTGGTGATAAAAAAATAAAATTAAATAGATAAAAAGAAAATAAGACTAGGAGTAAATCGTTTGAATTGGGGCGAATCGGTTAATTTTTAAGTTATTTTAACTAGTTTAAAATTTTCTATTTATATATAATTGAAAAATATTTCGAATTGATTCCAACTTTACAGTTGAACAAGTCGACATGATCTTATTCTTATAAAAGAGGTTGTTGTAAAAGATTTTTTCACGATAATTTTAAATCATCTTGAAATCATATGTTATGGAAATTTTCTAAGACGTGTTTATCTCTGACACATAAATTCATTAATATACAATGATGTTGTAACTATTATGAAAGACTTTCGATGACAATTATCAAATTTTCTATGACAATTGTTATGAAGATTCAATATTAAAAAAATTTTATCAAAAAAAAAAAAAATGCAAAACAAGAATTATTAAATTTAAATAGATAAAAATGAATCATTGAATAGGATCCATGCACAATAAATAAAAATTATTTTTTTATATTATTCAGTGTTATATATTAATCGATCTTACCAAATATTCGACATAGAGATGGATGTAAATCTCCTTTTTTTTTTAAGAAAAAAAAAATAAAATTGTTGACATGCAAAGCTATTTTTAATTTTATGAGATACTTTCTTTCAATTTACATTTATTATTGTGAGCCGACAATGGTATAGCCGACATACTCAATTTAAGCTTTGGACCACTTTTATTTTTTATTTGTAGTCATTTTTGTCTGATTATCCCTCAGACTTTGGAAACTCATTCCCCAAACATCACAATTAAAATTGGAATATGTAAACATCCCATTCAATGTTTTAATCATTTAATTATGCCTTTTCCTACTTTAGTAATTTCAATAAAAGTTAACCCTAAATATTATTAATATTTGACATAATTCAAAAATGTGGTCTATATGTCTAATCAAGCATCAATTAAACATCGCCTTCGACAACATATGTGGCTAGTGTCACAAGACTATTTGTTCGCGTAGCAAATAAATTGATATAAAACATAGCGACAATGTGAATTATGCGAGTGACATAGAAAATTTGACTAGTTGAGCTATTGTAGATTCACCATCCAAACGATGAGTTATCACATTAGGGCAAAGACGACATATTTTAAAAGTAAAAAAGAATTAATTTTCGATATCTCGGGTTCTTATTGATCCTAGTGAAATGAAGGTTCATGATAAAGTTTATAAAGTTTTTATGGTACTCTCTACCTTTGCGTAGTCTTTATCTAAGGTGTGTAGTTCTGCAATTAAGCCTTACTAATTTCATGTGGCAACTATACGAGATCATATCTAACTATACAAGTGAGAACTTAGTTTGTATTGACGAATTTTCTTAGTTGGATTGTGTGACGCTACACGACAATTACTACATAAATTATCATGTAAATTATATGTACCATCGATAAAACAATCCACTAGCAAAGGGGACAACTCCTTCTATGAAAGCACATCTTTAAACTTATGAATAGTGATTAGTAGTGTCACTACAAGACATTTAATATACAAAATGAAGAAGAGTCCATATTGCTCCCAATTACATACTCTTAATTACTCGATCATAAACAAACATGAATGCCTAGTGTCACATTGGTGCAAAGTGCAAACTAACGCAATAATGGAACTCAAAATGTGCACAAAAAGAGAGGAAAAAAAACTTCTTGTTTAGCTATGGTAGAATTTTTTTTTCCCTAAGTTTTCTTATTGGGATTGATTCTAGATGATTTTCCCTGATATTTAGAAATCACAAAACGCTGATTTTCAGGATGTAAATAGGTGATCTCCTTATCAACATATTCTTCTTCGATTGCGAAAGTGTAAGTTCGATTTCTGTGCTTCTTCAAAAGCATACAATAGATGGTATTCGTCTATTAGGAGGTGTCTTGCAGTGACCATAGACGATAAGAGTGGCAAAGGCGAAGCTAGATGGATCATAACCTTTGATACGATGGTAAACATGTGAATTAATTATGTATCTTTTTGTTGAAAGTTCACGTGACCTTCGCTGGTACGTTGATGTCCACGTGAAGTCATAGTAGGATTTAGGCCGTAAAAAAATTATGACTTACAACATTTTTATTAAATTAACTTTGAACAATTAAAAGATAGTGAAAGTATTATTTTTTTAAAAAAAATTACATTATTATGTCATTGGCATAGCCGCATAGAAAAAGGAAGAGAAAAACCAATCAAATTATAAAGAAAAAAAAGAGAGAAAATTATTTAAAAACATGAAAACGAAGCTCTGATGTAGACACCCATTAAACAAAATCAACGGGTCAGATTCATTCCACCCCCTCTAAATTCAGTTAATCTTCATTTCCTGCTCCTCCGCTCCTCCATCATCACCACCCCTACCCACCCACATTTACACACACAAACACGCAAACTTACAAACACTTGCCAAAGGAATGATGTTGGGCAAGCGTGGACGGCCTCCGTTTAGTAGGACAACAAGCATGTCGGAACTAAATGTTTCCTCCGGGGAAATCCCGCCGCCTTTGGTGCCTCAAAATCCTATGATTGGCGGCGGTGGATTTGGAGCTGTAGTTGTGGGTCCGTGTGGATATAATGAAGGGTCAATATCTATGATGCCTACGGCATTCTACATGAGTGGTGGTTCAGGTCATTCCGCCGCCGTGGAGACGGCGGATTTCTTGAGGACCTGCGGCCTCTGCAACCGCCATCTGCCGCCAGGTCGTGACATCTACATGTATAGGTATCGCCGTATCGGAACTCTCTGGAAAAAATGTATACATAAAAATTATCGAACTTATTCCATTCTTTTGCAATTTTTCTGTTTGGCTGTGTGACTACAGGGGTGATGCAGCATTTTGTACTCAAGAATGCAGAGAGCAACAAATAAAACAAGACGAAAAGAAAGAGCGGCGCGTCGTGGCTGTTTCAAGGAAGGCTGAAAGTCATCACAACCACACTAAGGTGGCGGCAGCCACTGCCTCGGAAACCTCCGGCAAGAGCGAGACAATGGCAGCAGCTTAAGGATGGAAATTAATCAATTATGCTCACAACCATCAATAGACGGTCAAATATTCACTACATAATAGTGTGTATTAGATTCCTTAATGATATGGTGACAAGTTTAGTAGGAAAGAAAGGGTGGTACTCGACAATATTACGAAATATTGTCTTACTCGTTCTATGGCCTAGTTCAGTGGTGTTCTATTTGGCATAGTCAAGTGTATCTCTGATTGTGGTGTAAAATTTGGTGTAAATTAATATCTTCAATGTCACTTTTGCATTCTATATATATATATATATATTTTTTTTTTTTTTTTTATTATTATTACTTTTTTTTTTTTTTTTTTTTTTTTTTATTTTTTTTTTTTACATTTTCTGTCGGCAAGTGTAATATGCATTTTCTTTGCATATCTCCATTGGAGATTCTTTAACATAGAAGATCTAAATCACTTTTGTATTCTCGTTCTTTAACCTTGGAGATACTTTAACATGCAGTATGAAGAATATATGGAAGTGTGTTGGAATTTCTATTACAGTTTAGTAAGGTCGAGGGTTTTTGCGACTACAAAAATCTTAGCAAGCACGTATACTCTCGACGATTATTATCCTTAGGGCTTAGACATTCACTTTTGGATGTTATTTTAAGATAGAAGGTAAAATCATTAGATATTCAATTTGAATGATGAAGAGTTTAAGCTTTGCCGGTGGGTTACTCCGTTTTGGGCCGGATCTGGTGGCTTGTGGCGGGAGTCGTTTGGTGGTGTATTTGTTGGGTGTCTGTTGCTGTCGGGAGGTGTTTTGGTTGGGTGGTATCTCTTTGGTGTTGATGGCGGCGGGTTGGTTGGGTGGTGTTTGTTGTTTTGGTGTTGTTGGGTTTTGGTTGGTTGATGGTCGGTGTTGGTGTTGTGTTGGCTTGTGGATTTTGGGTCCATTGTTGGTTTTTGAAGTTTTAGACATTGCCCGTCAATGGTTGCGGGGGAGCTCAAGTGTTGGATGCGTTAGTTGGCTTATAGTCGGGGTTTCCGAGCTGTTAAGTCACAGCTGTAACTTCGCTGCGGGCCACTTCCACAGCTCGGGTGTTGGTGTTTGTTGTTTTGGTGACGTTTGCTTTGGTGGTGTTTTCGTTGTTGTTTTGTTTGTATTTGCTTTTGGTGTTGTTTAGTTTGTCTTTGTTGTTGTTTTGTCTTAGCTCTAGTAGCACTTAAACTTTCTTTGGAGAGCATTGTGTTTGAGGTTTATCCTCCTTGTATCAGTTTTATGCTTATTTAATGGATGTGCACTTCAAAAAAAAAAAAAAGAGTTTAGTGAAATTATCTTCAAAAAGTAAAAACAACTATGAGTGGATTCATTGGCAGGAAAATATTTAATTTTCTATTTTGTTTATAGTTGCAAATTATTGCATTTTAGTTTTTGTCGAAAAATTGCAATACCCACAAAATTGTGTACACTTGTAAAGTAAGTTGAGTGGGACAAAGTAGGGGCATCAACGACTCGAGCCGAAACTTTTTGCTTGGACTCGATTCGAGTAAAAATAGTTCGAGCTTTTTTTGGTCTGAATTGAGCCGAACAAAAGTTCGGCCAAAAGTTTTCGAGTTGACCCGATGATTTGAATTGACGGGTTAGGAGGAGAATATGGTTGATTTGTGTTCGGAGAGGGGTTTGGATTCCGTCATTGAAGATAAGCTTGGGTGGTTGTTGTTGACCTCAAAAAATGAACTCAACATACGTCGGGCCCACTCTTACCACGTTAAGTACGGATTCAGCACGTTTTTACCAGAATAAGAATGGTAATCCAACTATAGTGAACGTGGAAGGCAACTTCCGACAAGAGACATAAATGTTAAGGTTCCGACGATATGATTAGAGGACAATCATACTATCAATGATCTCATTTCAATCAAAATAATAATAAAATATGTGGAATGATGGATATGATGAGTAGATGAGTTCTCTCCTTTTCAATAAGGGTTTTAAGTGTTTGTATGAATGTGTGTTTTTCTATCCTTTGCCTTCATCAATTCCCTTTTTTTTTATATAGAGGGTGGCTATTTATACTGTTCTAACCGACATGATGATCGTCGATCAAGTCTACGCGGCAACATCTCCTAACCCGAAACTTCACATCACTGTCCATTCACTACATTTAATATTTGACTAAAGGTCAACCGTTCTAGTAGTAGGCTGACATTGATTAAAGACTACAGACACTTTACTACAGACATCACATCATCAATCTAAAAAGATCTCCGAATATGATGTGAGGCAGCATCAACTTTATGAGTCTCGGACGGGCTTGAAAGAACCTTGGATTGGGTTGTGCCTCGTCTTTGAGGAGGCGCTTCAGGCCGAGGCTTGTTTAATGTGACAGCTTCTAATGGTGGGTTAAGGATCTTGACCTATCTCCTATTGGCACTTCTGACTTGTTGGCCCTCATCTTTGACTTCTCATTGACCGTTTTGCCTACGTGGTGTGTCACATGGCTTGGCCTCTTTAAACCTCAAAATTGAGGGGTAACAATAGTCTCCCAAGTCTAGGCATGATTATTTATGTAATGCATGGACTTGAAAGTAAAATTTTGAAATATAGCTTCAGATAATACGGATAGTCATTTGAAGTTCCGAAGAATGGGATGCTCTCTCAGCAATTCGGAAAATAGATACTCTCTTAGAGTTTCGTGCTCTCTTAGAGCTTCAGGATATAGATACTCTCTTAGATCTTTATATTCTCTTAGAGCTTCGGAAAATAGACACCCTCTTAGAGCTTTGTACTCTCTTAAAGCTTCGAAAAATAGACGCTCTCTTAGAGCTTCGAAAAATAGACGCCCTCTTAGAGCTTTGTGCTCTCTACCTTAAAGCTTCGAAAAATAGACGCTCTCTTAGAGCTTCGTTGACGATATCCCTTTCTTTAAATGTTCTTAAATGATTGAGGCTCCCTCCCTTGTTCAAAGTGCGTTCATAGATTCGGATTTCAATGATGCCTGAAACTATGATTAACCTCAGATTGATGGTTACGAGGATTTGTTACTTTCCTAATAAATCTGAGATTCACGAGGTGTTTTAATCATGGAGCTTCAATGATTTGATTGTCGTGATATCTTCCCAAGAAAATAGCTGGGGTCATTTCAACTTCCCACACACGCAAAAGTCGCTGTATTAAATGCGCAATGATGATTGTCTTCCCACGTTCTTCAACAAGATTCCAGATGCGTGAGGGTGCGTGCGAGCCACGTTCAAATCTTGACCTTCGAAGACCAAGCGTTAGATGTAGTGGGTGGTTTGGATTGCAAATCTGTTGATCAATGGTTGGATGGCCCAGATCAAAATCCAACAGTTAGGGTTGGTTGAGTTTACTTATAAAAGGCAAGAAGCCTTGAAGAGAATCTCTTTTCGTTTTTTGTATGAATCTTTGCACCTTTTTCTCTTGAGTTTTCCAACTTCTCAAGCTTTTCTCTTTTCGAAATTTCTGAGTGTTCTTTCCTTTCCTTCATTCGTGCTCCTGTGAATCCTTCTTTGACCAGTAAGTAACCGATTTTTCGAAATCTTTTGGTTTTTTTTTGTTTTTTTTGCATTTATGGCTTCTTCTGGGGGTGATATAGATGTGGCCAAGTTGGCAAAGGAAATAGGGGTTCAGCTCACTAGTATAGCCGACCTTAGGAGATCAATTGAGGCTGGCCGAGGTGCCTTATATCTGGGGATATTGTCCAGGGTGATGACGTGTGGGATGGGGGCAGCAAAAATCTATTCGAGTGTTGATCCATCCTAATTGGCCACTCTTAAAGATAAATATATGATCCCCTACAACATCGAACTCCTTTCTCCTTCCCATGATGAGCGAGCCTGCTTCTCTAGATTGGGGTGCGTCGCCATCAGTGAGTAATACTTAAAAGCTGGCCTTCACTTTCCTCTTCACCCTTTTTACGAGCCGTTCTTCGATAATATGGGTTGGTGCCCTACTTAATTAGCCCCTAATGGTTGAGCTCAACTAGTGGGTTTATACATTCTATGGAAGGAAATTTCTTTGGTCGAGGACATGCACTTCCACGTCTTCCAAACAATTTATCAACCTAGGTCCTTATGAAAGGGGGATTCAAAGGGGTAGTACTCGTTATGCCCATGGGGAGACATTCCCCTTTCGTTCTTGGTCTCTCCACATCCATTAACGTGTGGAAGGAGATCTGGTTCTGGGTTCGGGGAAAGTGGCAAAGTACTCGTTATGCCCATGGGGAGACAGTCCCCTTTCGTTCTTGGTCTCTCCACCTCCATTTACGTGTGGAAGGAGAGCTGGTTCTGGGGTCGGGGAAAGTGGCAGGAGTGTGAGGGTAATATTGTCCACTATATCAAAGTTTCGACCTCGTACTCCGAACTTAGTGAGTCATTTTGATATTTTTTTCGTCGTTACCTTTCATTTTGAGCTTGCTAGAACTCACGATCATTTTTCTTGCAGGATCGAATGAGAATCTTGAGTTTGATAAGAGTGATTAGGATATTTTGTCTGAGATCTATCGTCGATCCTTCTCAGAGCATGACTTCAACCATTTGGTAGTACCTCAGCGTCATTACAAGAATCTGAACTCAATGGCTCGACGTGGTATGACTTGAGTCTTTTCTTTCTTCATTTTCAGTTCACACTGATCTTTGTTATCGACTGACGTCTAACCATACGCTCCTTTGGGTTGCAGGAGACTTCGAGAAGAGGAAGATTCCCACCCCTGACATGGCCACTATTCTGGCTGCAACTTCTACTGCTGGTCGGAAGGGCCTAAAATCTTCATCTACTGGAAGAAAGTGGGTGGATGACACAAAAAAGAGGGTAAGTAAGGAGGCTGCCCCTCAAGAGGAAGGTGGTCCTCCACTTGTTGATAAGGGGAAGAAGGTGGTGGTGGAGGAGCCAAAGAAAAAATTCAGAGTGTCTACCACCTAGATGGGCAGCTCTAATGATATTCCTCCACTTCGCTCCGAGGTACCGTGGGGCATAAATTATTGGCTACGTCTTTTGCTGTGACCTCTACAGGTCAAAAGCAA